GGGCTGGAGATCAGGGCTGCTGGTATCAAAAGTAGAGGAGGGTTGCTCAGCCTCTGAGCTTCTGGGAGCTAAGCCTAAACCAGTAGCAGAACAGGGAGCAGGAGAAGGGATGTGGTTATTAAGAATTGCTCAGCATTACGAAACTCTCACATTCTGACTTTTTAATAGCCATTTCCTCTATAGGTTTTATGAGCATAGCAAATTTTTTTATACATATGCTGACATTCCTTCAGACAAACCACAGTAGCTCCATCAAAAGAGCAGAGCTGAGCTGTGAGAATCCCTTTTTCTTCCTTTGTTTCATCCCTGTATGAATGTACAAGTACACATTTTTCCACTACCTTGGTTTGATTTCTTGGGGGTTTTTTGTCTTCAGGTGCCCCACCCGTTCCTGGTCAGTAGTTTCACCAGAGGAGGAGCAGTCGGTGGCAGCCTGTGACCTTCGCTGGAGCATTCCTTGACAGAAGTGTCATTTCTTACTCTTTTCTCTTTCTCTAACAGGGTTTCCAAGGCAAGACTGGCCCCCCAGGACCCCCCGGTGTCGTAGGCCCTCAGGTAGGAAACAAATGCTCATGCTTGCACCAGCATCTCATCTTCTTGCAACCCATCTTCACAGCTGGCTCTCACAACTCTGATGGTTCAGCTGGAGCTGCTGGGACCACAGGTTATACAGCACAGAGACTCCTCTTCTAGGGGAGGCAAAGTCATGTCAAAGCAAGTTGGATGACTTTGAAATTCCTGGCCAAGATATGAAATACCCCATCAGGTCCCAGCCCAACTTTTTGAAGGGTAAGGGTGGCATTTAGACAATGAGCCTGAAAGTTGCTGTAAATAAGATGACTCACGTCAACTTAACAGAGCTACCTTGGTGTAAAATTTGTGTAGAGTGAGAGAGAGACCAGCTACACACAACCTAACCACAAGACCTTAAGCAACCAGAGAGTGAAACCTGATCTCAAGGGTAGTGTAAGCATGATGCAAGAGTGCTCTTACATGTTGTTATAAAGAAATGCATCCCTCTTTCATATAAAGCGCTGCTAGGTTTGGTCAGAGTTGGGCTATTTTCCTTTTAGTCAGAAAGAACTCCGTGCAATCTGGAAACTGGAACTGCACAACCTGAATTTGTACCCCTCAAGCACAGGTGTGCAAGACTCATGCCTAAGTTTTGAAGGCAGCATCCTAGACTGCCTTTGGGTCGAGTTTTCTTTCCCAAACTGCTGTGGAGTTTGCTCTTTAATTACAAAGTAATTGATTTGTCCTCTTTAATAATAGTGTAAAGTCCTTGATTTGTAAATTCCCTGATTAGGGGGCAATTCCCTGACTGTGTCTGTCTTCTCAAGTGCAAATTAGGTTCTATGGCAATTTTATTTGGCTCTACTGTGCATAGTTAGCGTGATCTGTGGTTGATGAGCGATGGCAATGCTATCGTTCTGCCTACACTAAGTGGCACCCTGCAGCGAGATGTGAATTATAACCACTGTCCCAGCAGACACCAGCGTACAGGGACGATATAGCCTTTTGCTTATGGCTTTTGTTCTCCTTCAAAATGAGCCACTTGGGAACCTTCTGCAGTGGGCCTGTTGTTACACTCGTCACCATTAGTGCCCGCGTGCAGCACAGGAGCAGTCAGTAATTGCTGTGTAGTACCAGCCTAATCCATTATTTATGTCCCATATAGGGAAGAATGAGCATGATTGTAAAGTACTTAGGAAGTTTTCAATAAAAAAAGGAAAAAAAAAACCACCTCAACCCTAAGCATAATAATTGTAGTAATATTATCTCATTTATGTGAACGCTTTCATTCCAGAGGTTCCCAAGGCCTCTAGTCTGTCGAGTGTGATGTTGCCCACTTCCAAAACAAGGTGCCTTTAGATGCCAAAGAAAGCATTTCTCCAGGGATTCCTGGTGGCACTGCAGGGGACAGCTAAGAGAAGGAGCATCTTCCATCCCATTGCAACCTAAAGGAATAAACTGATAGCCTGCACCTCTTCCTTCATTATTTGCTCTGCTGATACTCAACACCTTCTCACTGATCTCTGTTTCTTCAGGGTCCAACTGGTGAGACTGGTCCAATGGGTGAACGGGGACATCCAGGTCCTCCAGGTCCCCCAGGTGAACAAGGTCTTCCTGGCCTTACTGGAAAAGAAGGGACCAAGGTAGGGAGCAGCAGCCTACTGAATACACCCTCCTGCAAGCCTGAACACCTGCCTCTCTCCCAGAGATGGAGAAGGATGATTGATGTTTCACAGTGTCTCATCATGACTTGAGCCCAGGGGGAGGAGCTGCATCTCTATGGAGTCTGCAGATCCTCAGCTATTTATCACTGTCATTGCAGGGGGACCCTGGTCCCGCCGGCCTCCCAGGGAAGGATGGTCCACCAGGTTTGCGAGGCTTCCCTGGAGAGAGAGGTCTCCCTGGCCCCATTGTGAGTAGAGGCTTCCCAGTCCTTCTAGTGGGAAGAATGTCCACGTGGTGCAGTACCCACCTCCCAAAATGACTTTTGTTTTCCTCCTTCCAGGGTGCTCCAGGACTGAAAGGCAACGAAGGTCCCCCAGGCCCCCCAGGTCCAGCAGTGAGTATCCTTGCCCTTACAGGCACCACCTAACACATTTACAAGCTTGGCAAGCCAAAACAGAGGGTTAGTCACAGCTCAGTGCTTTATCCGTTATTTCCTTTGCACTAACGACTTGCTGGATATTGCTTTATTTTATGAGACACGCATGTAATGGCTCAGTTATTCTGTGCTGCCAGCTGAGAACATACGTGACAAGCTGATGGAACAGAGATGAAACATCCAAAGTTTCCTCCTAAGTCACTAGCTTTCCCTCTGAAAGTTGTCCCCACTTGAGATTTGTGCTCAGTGCAGCCCTCTTGGAAGAAAATATTCATTATCCAGCCCTCCCTGCTGCGTTGGCCATGAAGTGGCTCATGCTCTTATTCCACGTTGATAATGGGCCCCCAGGGACTGAGCTCCTTGCACCATCCAGAGGAGAACCTAAGCCTTCTAGAGATTTTTATTTAAAAAAGAAAAAAATATCTGCAGGACCTCCTAGGCTGATAGTACCAAGTCATCACATGGTAGTCATCCCATCAGATGTGCTCACTTAAGATGCATTTGCAGCATCCTAGTGATGGATTTCTTTCTGTCTGTGTGTAGATAAAGCTTGACACTCCACTTAATGCTTCCTTCTTCTCCAAACAGGGCTCTCCTGGTGAGCGTGGTCCCGCAGGATCAGCTGGCCCAATAGGCTTGCCAGGGCGACCTGGCCCCCAGGGACCTCCAGGACCTGCAGGTGAAAAAGGAGCTCCTGTAAGTACCAGTACAGAGATTAACAGCTGTGGGTCAAATAGAAATGTGGAGGGGTTTGGTTAGGAAGGAATGTTCTCATCTTGGAGGTATCAAACCACTGAATGTTAGCTGCTCAACTGCACTGCTTGGGACACCTGTGCTGTAAAAAATGGATGTGATCCCAGAGACCGAAATGTCCTCAGGCAATGAGAAGGGATGAGGACTGAACAGGTAAAATGAGAGCCTGTGTGACCTCCTGGTGACAAACAGCCAAAGGACAGGCCTCTGGGCAGAGAAGCAATCCAACTCCATCGCCGCTTATAAGGATGCAACAGCAGTAGGGATTTCTACTGAGCCTAAATAAATCCTTACCTTACTCTGCCCCAGTCAAGGAGCAGGAGCAAGGAGCAGGACAGGAAGGTGCTGCGGAGGTTTCAGTTCCGCTTCCTGGGATGCTCTGTGCTGCCATGGCATCAGCATTCCCAGGCGTCCCACTGACACCTGTGGAAAGAACTTGTTCTCAGCAGGAGCCCAAGCATAGCATGGCTGAGTCCTGCCATATGGTCCCTCTCCCAAGCATTCACCAGCCAGCCCACGCAAACTCTCACGTCTTTCACTCCCCAGGCATGTGCGTGAAATGTCACGTGTGGGAAATGTCACGTGTGGGCAGGAGAGGGTGGGCTGTGATGTGACTATTTCTGTCCATGAAGAGCCCAGCGCTGTGACAGCCCCAAGGAGGAAGGTTGAGCCTCTAACTCACACCCAGATGGTTTTGCAGGGATTTTGGGGTTGCCCACCTCAAACTTAAATTCAGCTTCAGACCCAACAAAATGAGCAAATGCTGGCATAGGTGATTTCAGACTGCATGAGGATGCTTACAGGTGATTGAATGTTGTTATCGAAAGTGTTTATCAGTCACTGAATTCCACATTTGTTGGCTTATTAGAAACTCCAGCAGCTAGTCCAGAGGCAAGAATTTCCTGGTGAATCAGCTTTATGAACATCTGTCCTGCCAAGTACCTATATGATGTATCAGTGGATAGATGAATAGGCAATTTATGTGACATCTAAATTATTTGGAAGAGAGCACCCAGGATTCAGATGCAATTAAATTATGTATGAGGGAACCGAAAAATATCCACTGTTCAGGTCCTCAAACAAACAAATTCAATTGAAGGCTCCAGATTGGAGGAATACAAGTAGATGTTTAAGCAGGAGGCCAGCAGAGATTGCTTTCTTCAGTTCAGGTCTTTTCAGAAGCTCAGGAGGGAACTTGGGGCCTCCTGGGAATTCCCCATTAGTTGGGAATCAGCCAGGGAGGGAACAGGCAGTGAGTGCTGGGGCAGCCAGTAAAATCTGGCTTGTGGGAATAAAAATTAGTTGGGGTGGTCTTTGTCATCCAGAGAGAGATGGCAGAGGGTTCAGATTAAATCTGATTATATTGCTATAGTGGTGAAATTGCAGCTGTGGTCTGGGTATTCACCGTTTAGATTTGTTTGTTCTTTCTTTATCTCTTGAGATAGAAATTTACTCTTGTTTCAGACCATGAGCACAAAGAGCCTGATGAATATCAGCTGGAAACTGATTTTGCTGTACATGTCCATGTAGTCAGGGGTCATCAGCAGCTGAAAAAAATGTTAATGGGATGTACTGGGGGGTTGGAGGGTGGAGAAGAGCTCTGTGTGACCTGTCTGTTATTTCTGCTTCCAGGGCGAGAAGGGTCCACAAGGACCAGCTGGCCGTGATGGCATCCAGGGCCCGGTGGGTCTACCAGGTCCCGCAGGTCCTGTTGGCCCTCCTGGAGAGGATGGAGACAAGGTGGGAGCAGCTCCCTGCTGCACAGGGTCACTCTGGGAAGGAACTGGGTGATGTGTCCCATTGCCACTAAGCTTCTTCCACCGCATTGGGTTGGATGTGCTGCTGGTTGTGACACAAAGATGTTGTGTGGCGCTTGCAATCGCATGAGATCAGCAGTGTCCACGCTGAGGAGCAGTGGGCAAACTGGGCTGTGCGTGCTCTGCCAGCCAAACTGCTTGCTGAGATCCAGTTATTTTCTCCCAAATCCTCTAGCAGGTGGCCTGCCTGTAGGTGCTTGGCCTTTCCCCACACTCTCATTAAAGCCCCTCTGGACTGGAGGATTCTTAGAAAACTTCAGCTAAGACAAGTCATTCGTCACTGCTAACAAGGTCCTGCATCGTGTGACAGCCAAGGGAAGTTTTAGGATGTAAAAAGGCTTGGTGACACCTGGAGTGGCCAGATCTCTGGGGTTTTGCTTTTTGGGTTTTTTTTTTTCAGAACTTAGAGGGGTATTTCTGTGGGAATTGGCATCTTTGGGATGAGGGTGCAGACACACAGGACTATTGCTTGAAAGTTGAGATATGGAAGTGGTCACCAAGTGAACTAACTGTGTCCCTTTGTGCATGGCAGGGTGAGATCGGGGAGCCTGGCCAGAAGGGCAGCAAGGGCGACAAAGGGGAGCAGGTGAGTGAAGTGGATGTCATCATAGATGCTTCCCTGGAGGAGCATGGTTATATTGCGAGACTTGCTGGAAACACAAAGCAATGTTGTTTTAATTTCCTTCTATCATTGCTTCATCTTCTCCTTTGCTTCATCAAATATCCACACGATGTAAAAAAGAGTGAGTACCTGGAGTGTTTCTCCTCCAGCTCCCAGGAACACACTGAGATGTTTCCATGTCACCTATGTACTGTGTAAATACCTGTGAAACATCAGAAGCTCTTGCCATTAAAGCTGGGTGTTCCTTTTCTAGTTGTTTGCAGCAAATGCTAGAACACGAGGGAAGCACCCTTTATGTGCCGCTCGGAGCCTGCGGAAGATAAATGACACACAACTATCTAGACAGAACTGATGGTGTGATATTGCTTTGCTGGAGCAAAAATGTGTTTAAACGTGTCTGCTGTGCCATTGGCACTAGGGCTGAGGGATGCTGGTGTGTCCGGGGAGACTCGACCCTGTCCTCCCTCTGTGTTGGGAATTAATGCATGTTTGACAGAGGCTGTGTTGAAGGGTATCACCTTTTCCAGGTGATACCCTTCACTCTGTGCTCCTAACGCTGATGTTGCACTTCTGTTTCATGGCAGGGTCCGCCAGGTCCTACTGGCCCACAGGGTCCGATCGGTCAGCCTGGCCCAGCTGTGAGTATTGTCCTCCAGTAGCAGACATTCCCTTTCTTACCATAAAATCCTCTGGGAAGCACTGCAAGGATTGGCAGTTTCTGCCTGGCACTGCTGATGTCCAGCACATGAGGAGGACATTGATGCTGGCTGTGGTGGGGATGGGACTTTGCATCTACCTTGTATCTTCGCTAAGCTGTGTTAGATCCTTTCCTTGTAGGGTGCTGATGGAGAGCCAGGTCCCAGGGGACAGCAAGGCCTCTTTGGTCAGAAAGGTGATGAAGGACCCCGAGGCTTCCCTGGTCCTCCTGGCCCAGTGGGCTTGCAGGTAATTTGCAGCATCAAGGGAGGGTTTAGGGTAATGAAAGCTGGGGTTCCACCTGGGATGTTCACAGCTAAAACTCATCCCCTCCACCTCCACAGGGCTTGCCTGGACCACCTGGTGAGAAGGGAGAAACAGGTGATGTTGGGCAAATGGTAAGATGCTTTCATACTTCTTTTTTTATCACTGACATAGATATTGCTCCACGAAACATGTCTTACATTTGTCTCCCCTTTCTCTCAGGGCCCGCCAGGCCCACCTGGACCCAGAGGTCCATCTGGACCACCAGGAGCAGATGGTCCACAGGGTCCTCCTGGGGGAATAGGAAATCCTGGTGCAGTAGGAGAGAAGGTAAAGGATCCAGACAAGCCTGATAGAAGCCTGCAAGAGTTTGCTATGATACTCATGCAGGAGCTCTGCTACATCAGCAGAAAACGCAACAGCCTGTAGAAATAAACTGTGATCGCCCTTTTTTTTTTTTTCCCTCTGCAGGGTGAACCTGGTGAATCTGGTGAGCCTGGTCTTCCTGGCGAGGTTGGCCTTCCGGTAAGTATGCTACAGGGTGGATCTTGCTCTGAGGGAGAAGATCTTTTCTTCAGTGTTGTCCTCTGAGGAGGTGGTTGAAGGGGTGTCAGAGAAGTATGGATGTTGATGGGACTGCAGGGACAGAACCAGCCATGTCCTTGGTTTAGGTATCAGGTGACACATTACTGTGTTACTAGTTATTTATAGGATAACATTTAGTTACTGAATATGGGCTGCTCATGGCTGAACAACATGAACACCATTTAATCTTTGTAGGAAGGGACTGCTAACTCATGTCCTCATGTTCTGAGATACAAACAGAGCTTCTTCCTCAGAATTGATTAAAGGATAATTAAAGATCGGTAAGTTGTTTTCCTGCATAATGGAAACATCCTTTCCTTTACAGGGTCCTAAAGGTGAAAGAGGTGAAAAGGGTGAAGCAGGTCCCTCTGGTGCTGCTGGTCCACCTGGCCCCAAAGGTCCGCCAGGTGATGATGGTCCCAAAGGCAGCCCTGTGAGTACCCCCCTCCCATCCAAGTAGTGCATCCTTGCCCTGCCCAGTGGTGATTTCTGCATCAAAAGATGTTTTCCAGAGATTTTTCTGGAAATTTGAAATATTTTATCAGCCAGAGAATTGTTCCTCTAATGATACCTGACATTAGTCCCCTTCTTTAGGGTGCTAAAGAAGAAAAGACCCAGCTGTACCATATCTTCCAGCAATACTTGAATTACTGATCTTTTTTGCAGGCTCTCTGAAAACTCACCCCTATGGAGAGGGCCTGCAGTAGGTTTACTTTGCACTTGAGCTTATGGATTTGCATCAGAGCAAAGCTTCCAAAATAATGTAGAAGAGATTTATGTGAATTTGGGAGTTGTACCTCTAGGGTCAGATCCCTGCTGATGCTAATTGCTGTAGCTCTATTGAAACCAGTAGAGCTGTACTGATTTATACCAGATGACAATGGCACAGTATTTATCTCGCTGACTTCTTTGATGCTTGCTGGCTGAAGAAATTTATTATGCGATAAGGAAAGATGGCATGAAACAGCAGAGGAGGCAGGGGAGTTAGTCATCTCTCTTAACAGATGGGTTTTTGGGATATCGCATTATTGGTTAAAGCCTATTGTCTGAATGCTGATCTCAGAATGATTTGAAGTACACAATAGACATTGTATGGAGAAGAATGGTGACTTGTTTTAGTCATTAAATGCTTTGAGAGGATCTTCATGTGAAAAATGTTACACATCATGTAGTAAGCAAAAGCAAGATCTTCTAATCTGTACATTCCCCAAAGCTGCGAGGATTTCACTGTCACTTGTCCAATGTATTTATGAAAAACTAGATGAAACTCCCAGCACTGACACTGGAGCTTTGCATAGTCTGGATGCAGAACTGAACTGGTGGCTGTGACAGGGTGAATTACTGAGGATGCAAAGATGGGATGTGATCTGGGATTGTGTCTGAGGGCAGGGAATTAGGGTTTTGCTCTATAGGATGGCTTCTTGTGTTGTTGCTGGGGTAACAGCTGTGAGTGCTCTGCAATTCTCTAGATGAAATATCTCTGACGTGGGGATATCCTTCTCTCTTTGCAGGGTCCAGTTGGTTTCCCTGGTGACCCTGGTCCTCCTGGAGAGCCTGGTCCAGCTGTAAGTGTTTGTCTCTCAGAAAGGCGGTTAGGTTCCTCCTCTTGGTTTTGTGAAATACAACTGTGTGCTGTTCATTCACCAGCAGCTCCTCTGGCATTTACTCTTCCTTTACTTGGGA